AGAAATGGACAAGGTCCGAGTTTTATTTATTAAAGACATTTTTTATGTTTAACGTTGTTATTTTATAGATACAAGTATTTAAGCAAATGCTCTGTTTATGAAAATGTCTTTAATAAATATAAATTTTAATAAATATAAATTTTATGTCAAAAAATGTCTTTAATAAAAAAATTCTCGGACATTCAGTCCATTAAATAACATAATACTGTTTATCATAAACAGAGCATTTGCTTAAATACTTGTATCTATAAAATAACAACGTTAAACATAAAATGTCTTTTATAAATATATATATATATATATATATATATATATATATATGCCAGTGTGTATTCAATTAAGAAAAATTTCAAAAAAAACCCTTAATTTGAATTTTCCAGCTATAAACTGAAATTTATTTCTGCAGTTGGTTTACACTGCATCTTCAGACTGGTTTAAATCAGTCTAAAAATGCAATGCAAACCAACAGCAGAAATAAATTTAAGTTTATAGCTGGAAAATTCAAATATAAGGGTTTTCTTTGAAATTGTTCTTAATTATATTGCTCTGTATGATTTGTTATTATTCTCATACATTGAGCTCTCTATGAGGGTTTTTTTTTTCCTGGATATTCACATTTTAGGAACTCCTCAGGATTGATCCAGCCAAGAAGCTCTTCCAACAAGAAAAAAAAATCTGATGTTTTGTCATTTGGTTAGATTTTGAACAATAAGTTGGGCTGAGAACTTGTCAATACCTTATTATAAAATATATAAATGTCTTCATGCTACTGTTTATTCTCTTTTATAAAGTATCACTCTGTTAATTTCTTTTATCAAAGTTTAAGTTTTAACAAGTTAAACTGAATACATAAACAGTATTAATAAATGTAATATGTTCATTTTTTTTATTTCCATTAGCAGAAATGTTGTCAATTATTAATTTTTGAGTTTTACTTCTCTTGTATTAATTTCAGTTGCATGTCATCACAGCTACTCATAATTGCAATAAAAAATTAGTAAAATCCAAGTGAAAGAAGCCAAACATTAAATATAGTTACAAATGAATAAATAGATTTTCAATCTTCTTGACCTAAAAGAATTATTGCCAGGATGGGAAAAAACTATACATCCAACAATTCTTGTTTTTTGTTTAATTATGCTAAAACTTTTAAATTTAATAAATGTATCATTATAGTAATTTTATTGCTAGAAATTTATTTATGACTTAGAAGAAAAAAACAAAAAAAATCAATGCATTTATTTAGTTGATATAAAGTATAAAATGCATCATCTTAGTTGCAACTTTGCAGCTGATAAGTTATTCAGATTTTGCTAGTGATATGCAGCATCGCATTGTCTTTAGAAGTCACTTAGTACTTTTTTTGAGTACCACCAATTCTTTGACAAGGATAAAGGGGTTTCCTTTCCAGTCTTATCTGCAAGTTCTCTCAATCATATAAGTTTTTGGCATGCTGTTTTGAGACTTTGTTAAACTCTGATGTTCTTGTCGCAGAAATGACAAAGAAAAAGAAAAATGTTCTAAGCAACTTCTAAAGATTCCCAACTGCAACATGACCATATTGGAGATCAAAGAACATATCAGCTGAAACATTTTGTTACAAATGAGAAAGTTGAAGAATTTTTTACACCATGACCCTTCCAGATACAAACAATCATGGGTCTCAAGAATTTCCTTCTTCTTTAATATCTATGAGTTGGAATTTCTTGCAAAAGATGGAGAATCAGTTTCCCACTGCCTTCTTTGCATTTTTTTAATTCAAAGTAGTCATTCTCCTAGACTGTCTATCATTCAAGGCTAGAGATATCAGTTTGCCGTGCATCCTGGGTAAGATGATAAACTACATCCAACAGCAAGGTCTTTGATCAGGAGGTTTTGAGGAGCGTGGAACCACCCCTTAATTGCTGGTGTTCTTAGATTCACTATGACCTGGGGTGGTGCACTTGTCAGGGCCCCAGCTATAGGAAAATAGTTAACCACCACAAAAGGAGTCAAAACACCAAAGTATAAAAATAGGTTTTAATACCAGCAATACTTTTTTGGAAAAATTATTACCAGCAAGACATTTTTGGAAAAAAATATTACCAGCAATAAAAATCTTGTTGGCATTAAATAACCCATTGAGGTGTTGATATGCTGTAAAACAAACGAAACCAAACCAGTCTGCCATGCTATTTAATTCATAGCTAGGAGAAGAATAGATGGATTTATGCTTTTGCCTATATTATTTGAGCAAAAGTGAGTGCAATAGACCAGAAATTTGAATTCAGCTTGAATTTGAATTTATCAATATCCAGTATACTACAGATTTCCAAAGGGGAAGGTACATTAATTACATTATTTACATGCGGACTATTGTCTTCAACTTTGTTGTTGTCATCACAACATTTCAGCCATTGTAACCTCTGGCCTTCATCAGGTGTATATCAATCCAGGTAATCTACAGGGAATTTAAAACTGAACAGTTTATTTAATTCTATGATGACTGAAAAATATTCCCATTTCATTACCCATATCTAGAAACATCTAGTTCTTATTTAGTACTGCTTGGTTATTGTGTGTCCCATTTCCAGAGTGTCCAAGTACACACTACCTGATATAATAATTGATTTCAATCCCTGAGAGAGGCAGTGTGTAACTTGACTCAGTGGAAATGAGGCAAGTAGTAATGGAGTAGTACTAAATAAGAACAAGAGGAGATATCCTTAGACATGGGCAGTGAAATGAGAACAATCTACCTCCATAGATTAAATAAAGGGAACAGTTCAAAATTCCCTGAAGGTTACCGAGATCAACATATATCTGATGAAGGCCAGAGTGCACAATGGCTGAAACATTATGATAACAACAACAAAGATGAGGACAATGGTTTTCATGTAAAAAATAACTCCTCTTCACAGAAATTCAGACAGAAAAGTAAAGATACAAGTTGGAAATATTTGTAGAATAATAAAAACACTTTATCTGAAAAATTTACAAAGCAGAAGAAATTTTTAGAATTTATGTAAAGATGAAATAATAATTTGAACCATCTTCTTGTTCAAGTTTATTTTACCATATTTTTTTGTGTATAAGATGCACTTTTTAACTCAAAACCTGATGTCAAACTCTGAGCCCTATACACCAAAGGCATGAATTATATGAGATACACAAGCCATGTGTAAATATATGCAAATCAATTGCAACCCCTCAATTTTTCTATTAACAAACCTTTTAAGACTTGTTGAGCTCCATCTACTCAGGTTTTGTTGCTATCTATTTGTCAGGATTCCAAACAGTTAATTACTCTTTTAAATGAACCATAAAAAGGGTTTTCTGAAGAAAAAGTAGAATCAGAACATCAGTTGAAATAACATTCTATTCCTTTTTGTCAGTATGCAATAACAATAAAATGTTCAATTTTCCTTGCAGTGAAGTTTGTTTTATCAAATAATTAAGTGTTTTTAATGTGGTGTAAAATGTATGGCCAGACTTACTTTATGACAATCAGCCTAATGGGTTTGCAAGTTCATAGACAACGACAAATTGGTGGCTGTTGGCTGTCATCTCTTCATTGCATGCACATGTTGATCAAAAACTGGCCTCTGAAATTGTTTTGAGCTTTGAGAAGCAGTATGCTTCTATTTTTATATCTGTAAGGGAGATCTAAAATCTGATTTCGCTAAGAGGTTTGGACTTTTTGAATACAAGATTTTCATTAATTAGAAAATAATTTCACAAGTTTCAAGATATTGTTATTTTCTAAATGCTCCAAAAATAATATATAGGTCTGCAACTATGTCCACAAGTATTTTAGCAGTATTTTCCCTAATAATTATTGTTTATCAAGCAAAACTTCCACAGGGATTTTATTGGTTGAAAAATATATATAGATCATAGACTTCAATGAGGGAGAAATGGAACAAATGGATGCAGCAGGAAAATTTTGCTATGACCCCCTTCTGGTTCTGAACAAAAGAGAAGACAAACACTTGTTTGGGCGTGCATCGTGGGGGAAGAAGAATTTATGGGAAAAATAAGTGATATAGGAATTTAAGAATTCATGACATTAGTGATATTCCATTTCTGAAATGGGGTATCAAAAATGCAATGGATAAGTCCAAGAATAACATTCTCTTTGATCATAATAATGTCTCCATTGATGAAATGTCTGATTCTTTTCCAAGTGATAGTGAAAGCAATGAGGATTTTGTAGGTTTTGAACTAAATAACAGTAAACCACATTTTTGATACATGATATTTTCTTATTTTGATGTTTTGAACTCTTTGGGGTTGAAAGGAATATATAATAATTGTTAATGTTGAATTTATGTTTAATAAAAAAATTTTTTAAATATGACTGTAGATTTTTCTCCAAAATTTTGTCTTCACAATAAGTGTGCATCTTATACACCGAAAAAATACAGTACATATAAATGACAAAATCAAACTGATTTTTTTTAATAATGATTAATATCAATCTCCAAATCTTTGAAAAATGAAAAGCTTCTACAAACATTATCATTTTTGCTCACTTCAGCCAATTGAAACTTCGAAGGTTTTCTTTCACTGCAACTAAAATCCAACTCAAAATATAAACATTGAAACTAAACATCCCAGCCATCATCGTGAATATCCTGAAAAATCAACCATTTTCTTTTAAATATATTTAGTAATTTGTGTTTAATTATAACTTTTAACCAGTTTATTAATTACTATTTATTATTACTTTCAAGTATAAAAGTACATTCAAAATAAGACATCTTTTGAACAAAAAGAATAACCGAAAACTTGATCAATGTTTGCTTGTGAATGTACTCTTACAAATGACCCACATAGAGGGTTTTTTGATGCTTTATTTAGTTTATGGGTTAAAGATCAAAAGAACAGAGATGCCATTACAAAATACTGTATCTAAAATGAAACTTGAAATCTCTTAAGTGAAAATCAATCTTTTTTCATGTTGACCTTTATCAGTTTGCTTTCAAGTTTGATGTGGTTATCTCCCCTTTCATTTACAGTTCAATAAGAGCAGAAGATCGTCCACCTTTAGAAACTCCAAGGTTTGTATGGAGATACTACATTATGCATTTATGAATATGACTGCAAATAATATTTCATGTATTTTAAGCATTAACAGGTAGCTTCCAACATTTTTCTTTTTTTTTTTAGCCTGATGACTTAGTTTCATAACCCAACTTGTTCACATTTAATTTTTTATTGCTTGGGAATGACATTTAACCTTTGAATGCAAAAAAGACATCAGAATGCAATTTGCATTTTACTGATTATATAAGCTAGTTTCTGTAAACTGTTCTTGTTAAATTATAGTTTATATTTTGCAAAATATCAACTATAATAAAATTGTGCTCACAAGAAACTACTACCATATCTTACTGCTTATAAAATGCATGTTTTTTTTTCAAGAAAATATTTCCAAAAATCACTCTGCATCCTATAAATTGAAGGTTGGTGGTGGGAGTTATAAGTTTGGGGTGTGGGATGAACATCAACTCCCCAGTTAATCCAATTCTGAGCCCTTCAAAGTAAAACTAATCCAGTATTTCAAAAATTTAATAAATGTTTTGAGAGAAGCAATTTATGCAGCTGGGATACTTGAATATTAGCAGGAAAGGAAATTCCTGCTACAGTAACACCTGCTGGTCACAAAGCATCAGTATTTATGGTAGACACTTTAAGAATAATTCTACTGTATATTATGTTTGTGGTTTTATGCATGTTAACTTCTCTTCTAATTATTACATTTATTATATCCAGTGTATAGTTGCAAAGGAAAGAACAAACAAGGCTTAAAATTTCAACAAGTATATACATAATATTCAATGCCAGCAAACATAGTTGCGTTTATTTACCAGGATGAGTTCACAAGCTTATAATGAGTTGGTAGCATGAGTGGGGTGTCATTGGTGGGGTGAATTAGTGGTAAGGTGCATTTTGCAGATGAGTTGACCAAAATCATGATGGTGATGATGGGAGAGGCTTGGAGTGGATTAGTGAAGCAGGTGAAGTTCACTTTGCCAATACAGATCATGTGCAGATCTCAAGTGGATATGTGTGTTGACTGAAATTACAGTGGTCATGTTGAGAGCCCACCAGTATCAACATCTGGCCTGTTGGCTAGGTTCTGTGTGTGAGTTATATATTTATGAGGGGTTTTCTATTAAGCAAATCTGGTGCCTCCCAGACTCATTTTTTCTTTGGTGACAACATTCATGATTGGCTATTGTATTTTAAATTTTTACAGGGATCTGTTTTGTGGGCTGAATGTGATGCTTGGAGCCCCTGCACAGAAGACAACATTTTTTTTTATTTTGAGTTTGCTTTCTTAACACTACCATCTGACTGACATGTAGAGTGAATCAGAAAGAAATCTAATTTGCAACAGAGTATACCACATTCTAAATAGTTACAATAATTTTGGCACTTCTGTGATGCTTAGTCAGGTTTTCATGCAGAAATATGTTATCCGATGGGTAAAATTAGGGATAGTCGCGAGTGCTATGAAATACAAGGGAAAACATTTTTTCTGCTTTCTCCTTTCAAAATTGGGGATGGTGTCTAAGACATCAGTACATCTTATAAGCAGCAAAATATGGTATTTGTACCTTAAATTTATTTATTAATCTACTATGCTTGTTAGTAGTTTATGGTACCTTGGAATCTGAAGTTGATTTTCTAATTTCTTTCATATTTTAAGGACTGCTTGAATCAGAAAGGAATCCTTTTATCCATATCACTTATTATACTTAGAGTTTCTTTAAAATGATTTAAGATTGAAGAATCTTGTTAGACCCATACAACCAACCCTTTGGTCTCAGGCTTGATCATTGTCTAGTGCCTTAATTTAGACAGTGATATTGACACTGAGGCCCTGTTGGAAGAAATTGGGATGCATGGGTCTCATTGCTTACAGCATCTAGTACCATTATAAATGATGTGAACATGGTATTATTCCCCATAAATATCACAATGTGGTCTTTACAGGGCCACCTGTCATTGATCATATTCAACTAACAACTTTCAAAAAGCTGACTATATGTGAGTTGCAAGGATCAGAAGAGTGGGAGGAGAATTTGTCCACTATAGGTTTGGTGCTTTAGTAAGACAAGATGACCAAGGCTAATGCCAAGTTGTTGATTTTTGTCTTCTCTAAAAGGTAAACCACCTTACAAAACTGCAGCGCTCCACCTCTGCTGTCTGTCCAAAGCTGAGGGCTGGGTAGTGTGCAATAATCCCTAACTTGGCCTGGGTTCAAGCCTCTCTCTCAAAGGCAGGAATCTTGACTTGGTTTATTGATTCTATTTTCTGTGCATATTTTTATATATATATATATATATATATATATATTTATATATTTAGCAATTTAAAAAAAATTTTCCATCTACCTTAGATATGTAGATAATATTCTTTTATTAGTCAAAAATAAGGAAGAAATATGTAAACTCCAAAAACAGTTCCAAGACAACTCCGTCCTAAGATTTACATATGAAATTAATACTAGTAACAAAATTTTGTTTCTCAATATACTGATTAACACCAATAATAAGTTCACCATCTCCCCATTTAATAAAAAACATACAAGCATAAATTCCTGTACTCTTAACTATAAAAGTAAATGTCCAAATTACTGTAAAATAGCTATTATAAAAAACCTAATAAACCATGCAAAAACTAATAAATCCACAAAACAGATCTACATTTTGTCAGTTTCTATCTCTGTCATTAAACCTTTGCATTTTAATGGCTTTATTAATTTGCTTGGGATGAAATGATAAAAATGTGTATGTGTGTATATGTATATGTGTGTGTATATGATGGACTCTCAAGTTTGATGTATGATGTTCCGTTGATCATGAACTAATTATATGCTTGCCTATGACAGGCATGACTTTTGAGACTGACATGAGAATTGCACAAAAGATCACAAACAGTACAGGAGAATGTATTGTATCCAAGTGCAGCAGGAACACTGTCAGCTGTCTTTTGCTTTTGTGTTTCATGCAGTCAACTGATGCTTACTTCTTAATGGTGCATTATTCCTGAATTGCAGCTAGAAGGATACTATGATCTCTTCATAGCTACCTCTTCAAAGTTCTTGAATGGAATGTTGATGCAAGAAAATTTGCTCTTCAGTTTATCTTTAAACCTGAGCCAATATCTACCACCATTCCTATGACCATTATGGAGTTCCCTGTAGAAAAGAACTTTTAGTATGTGATCATCACTCATCCTTTCCACATAGCCAGCCCAACATAGTTGTGATTGCATTATGAAAGCCTTGATGGTACCAATCTTGCATTTCTCTAAAGGTTGGCATTTAACACTAGATCATCAAACGTTAGGCCATAGATTGTACGGAGACGACCTTTATGGAAGACATCTGATCATTTAATGTGCCATCTATAAGGTGTCCAAGTTTCAGAGCCATACAAAAGAGTTGACGAAACGACAGCTTTGTACACTTGGATTTTAGTGCAAAGCTTTATTCCCCTCTTGTCTCATAACCTATGACACAGCAAACCAAAGGAAGTATTTGAAAGATATTGGTATTTGAAAGATTCCACATACTTGAGATTCTTTCCATCATATATATATATATATATATATATATATATATATATTAAAGAGAAGAGAGAAACCACAAACATTTTTGGTTATAATGTGGATTTTTTTTATATATATATTATACTTTATTTACCATATTTTTGCTACACGTGTTTCCAGTCTTGCAATATTCATCAAGCAAAGAGTGGTTATTTACACATATTATTAAAAGGAATGAATCTTTCTTTGTTTTCTGTTGTTTAACCATTGTCTTTTGTGTGCAGTAGATAACAAAATAGAAAAGGGCTTCCCAACAAACCTTGCACCAAAATCAAGCAACTTCCATGGGCCACTAAAAATTCATAAATCAAGTGAAACAAAAGCAGTCATCCAGACACAAAAATTTGAATGCATTCGTGATCCATGATTGCCTCCATTGCTTGTTTTTGGTGCGAGGTTTGTTGGGAAGCCTTGTGTGTTGTGCAGAGTTTTGTGGTTTTTGATGTGATGCTCTTGTCCACATTGGTGTTGACTGTTTTATTACACCTTTAAACAGAAGAATACTTTCACCACCAATTCAAGAGAAAAATTTGGGTTACTACTGCACACAAAAGACAATGGTTAAACAACAGAAAACATAAGGAAAATTAATTCCTTTTAATAACATGTGGAAATAACCACTCTTTGTCTGATGAGGGTTGCAAGACCAGAAACACATGTAGCAAAATATAGAAAATAAAGTATAATATATATTTTTAAAAAATCCACATTATAACCAAAAACATTTGCAGTTTCTCTCTTCTCTTTGAAAGATACACTTTTCTCTCGGAACAACTATAACCTCTTCCTTTTTTATATATATATATATATATGACTAATCATAGATAAGTGAAGGAGAAGATAGAAAAAATACTTATTGATGTGTTTCATTTGAGGAATGAACTTCTTCAGACTAATAATGGATTTATTGATGGAATCAGTCATCTTTATAGAAAAGGAAGAAAAAAAGAGGGTGGAAAGACGTATAATAAGCACCAGTAATCTCTAAACCTTGAATTTAATCTTCAGCTAGCATTTGTTTTATTACTTTTACATTGATTCTATCAATGAAACCATTATTAGTCTCAAGAATCACCTTCTAGAATGAAACATGTCACAAATAAAATTTTTCCTCTTGTCATTCATTTGCCAATATACGTTTATTTATAATATATATATTTATTTATATAAGCACAACATAAATATTATTGGAATATTAATAAAAATGATTCTGCTTCAAATGCTTCATATTATACATGTAGAATTAATGCAAGTAAAACATTTGTCACTTAGCTGATTCATGTTACCTTTAGCAGCCCAACTCCAGAGTTTCATAGATGGGGCCTCGATCATATCTCTGTCCATTTTCCAGGGGCGGTGGGGATCAGCAATTGACTACTTATACTTATCTTTTCTTTCTGATATGCACTTTTCCTTGGTACAAGTTTTTGGGGTTTGT